CCACGCGTTGTATTACCACGCGCCGTATCGCCACGCGTGGTGTTACCACGCGTCATATCTCTACGCGTTGTATCGCCACGCGTTGTATTACCACGCGTTATATCGCCACGCGTTGTATCGCCACGCGTTGTATTACTACGCGCCGTATCGCCACGCGTGGTATTATTACTCGTCATATTTCCACGCGTTGTATCGCCACGAGTTGTATTACCACGCGTTATATCGCCACGCACTATATGGCCACGCATTATATCGCCACGCGTCGTATTGCAATCCTTTGAATCGCCACGCATTGTACCACCACGTACTCTACTCCAACGCGTTGTATCGCCTCGTGTCACATTACATCGCATTGCATAGTATCTCGTCAAATGACCATGAATTAAATCGCCACTCATTATATCACCATAAGCAAACCAACATGCGTTATATCATCAAGCATATCATCTATACATTACAATGTATATCTAACCAAAATATCTACACGTGACATGTCCTCTAAAATTTTTAACCAATAACCAAGCTAATGTGTTTCAACCGAATAGTTCAGAATATATTCGCAGAGAAATATTCTGCTACAACAGCCTCTTCTCTTCGTAATTCCGCGAAGAGAAAACAAGCGCGCAACATCGTATAACTCTCTACTGAAATTAAGCACACTTGATCATTATTGGAGTTTTTGTTGCTAAGAACTAGATCTGTTTTACAAAATAAAAAAAAAAAAACTCATCAACCAACAGTGGCCTTCGAACGATGACGTACACATGGTCTGACTTTCTGGTCTAGTTATGAGATCGGCTCGCCGTGTCCAACGAGATTCAGGATTGCGCTTTCATGATGCATTATTTCGTGATACGCGTGATAAATCGAACTGGTCCAACGAAGCGAAGAAGCGGGAATTAAGAATACAATGGAAAATTATTCATCGTGGGGAGATCATGATTCAATGTGTGGCCGATGAATACAAATTTGTGGGCGTGTTGTTGGAAGTAAAGAAGAGACGTTTTCGATAATGTGACCCGAGGAAAATTATTCCAAAAAATGTAGCATATGTTGGATAAAAATATTGTAACGTTTCCTTCGCAAACACAAAACCACAGTGTTTTTCACCGAAAACATCCTTGGCAAAGGTCGTAAGATTAATCGAGGAAACTGAAGCGTTAAAAACATCCACAAACGTTATGTTCCCCGTAGAAGTCAGCGGGCGATCAAAAAATGAAAAGGAACGATGAACAAGAACAAGCGGACTGAGGAGACAAAAGAGAAAGGCGAATACCATCAGCGATTCAAAAGAAGGGTCGACCGAGTTTTATCAAACCGTCTCTGATGCATTTTGCGACTGCAATCGGTGCCGTGTTGCATCCGTTGAAAGGTTGATTTATCGTGACAATCGGAAACAAGAAAAATGTCTTTTCTGGGTGATCGACGTTATACTCGAAGAAATATAGTGTTACACGACTACAATTTCAATTACGTCCTTTTATTATTTAAAATTATACGAAAGGACACTGCCTTGGTGTTCGTTATTTATGGTGTTAAAAATATTGGCTTTGAGAAGAAACTTCCTTGGTAATTATTTTGGGTATTGTGGTTATAGGTTATTTTGGTGTCTTCAGATTTTCTTTGGGAATTATTAATCTTGGGCTTTTGTGATAGGACAACTTAACCGAAATAGTATAGTATAATTAAATGCAGTGTGAGCTGCATTCTCAAATCTCTGCGTCCCCGAATTCCTACGTCCTCACATTCCTATGTCTCCAAATTCCTACATCCTCAAATTCTTACGTTCCCAAATTCCTACATTCCCAAATCTCTACGCCACCGAATTCCCACGTCCCCAAATCTCTACGTCTCCCAAATTTCCACATCCCCCAATTCCTAAATACCCTAATTCCTAAATCCCTAAATTCCTACGTTCCCAAATTCCCACATTCCCAAATTTCTACGCCACCGAATTCCCACGTTCCCAAATCTCTACGTCTCCCAAATTCCCACATCCCCCAATTCCTAAATCCCCAAATTCCTACGTCCCCACATTCCCACATTCCCAAATCTCTACGCCACCGAATTCCCACGTCCCCCAATTCCTAAATTCCCAAATTCCTACGTCCCCGAGTTTCTACGTCCCCAAATCTCTACGTCTCCCAAATTCCCACATTCCCAAATCTCTACGCCACCGAATTCCCACGTTCCCAAATCTCTACGTCTCCCAAATTCCCACATCCCCCAATTCCTAAATACCCCAATTCCTAAATCCCCAAATTCCTACGTCCTCACATTCCCACATTCCCAAATCTCCGCATCTCCGAATTCCTACGCCCACAAACTTCTAAATAAATTCTTGTTTGCTGATTGAGCACCGCGACGGTTCATACCCATCACTACATACAGTTTATAGAAAGAATGCAGTGTTCACAAACTCACATTTTTACTCCTCGGATTTCAGTTAATTTTATAGTCAACTTATTTTACGTCCACACGTCATATCGACTATACAAAAATTATGACTGCAACGAAGTATACAAGTTTATCAGATCATATACAATGATTTAGGTCTTTGTAGATCTATGTAGGTCTTTGGCAGTCTACCGAAGACCATAGAGATATTAGTCGATAACCCAAGAGTGCAATTCAAATATTAAATATTACTGCGCTGCAACGAGATTCAAGGAGAGAATGACGTCCGTTCGAACTTTCTGACCTGTCGCGTTTTATGTATCTGCAACGTTTCCTCGCGTGAACGTGCCTAGAACGATAGAGTAGCTCTTTCAGGATCCGCCTGACTCGAATTTGACTAGAACATGGCTGTAAATCATGAAGAATCCTCTTTGTCTATCGACTACATTCTCTTTAACTCGGGAACCGGTCGCTGAAACAAGGACGATGTAGTATTGGTTTCTCAACGATGGTAAACTCTCTTTATATTATCACGGATCACGTTATGAGACAACTTTTAGACAACGTTTAGAGTTGGTGTGTTGGATTGGGCCGAAGATGTATGGACAATTTTCTTCTTTGATGTGATGGTGATGTTTGTGAATCATCACACGAGAAACAACGTGAGGTAATACAACACGTGGTGATTACAATGCATGGAAATTATAATCCATGGCAATAGGGCTCGTGAGAATTACAGCGTGTGATGATTGGAACACGTGGTAATTACAATATGTTATACTTGTAACGCGTGACTACAACTCGTGGTGATTACAACGCGTGGTGACTACAATGCGTGGTAATTACAACGCGTAGTGATTACAATGTGTGGTAATTACAACACGTGGTGATTGCAACGCGCGGTGATTACAATGCGTGGTGATTACAGCGCGTGGTGATTACAACGCGTGGTGATTACAACGCGTGGTGATTACAACGCGTGGTAATTACAACGCGTGGTAATTATAACGAGTGGTAATTATAACGAGTGGTGACTACAGCGCGTGGTAATTACAACGCGTGGAAATTATAATCCACGACCATACAGCCAACAGAAAATATAACATACAATAATTAACATGTGATAATATACATAATAAACGTGTGATCATTTTAAATCATAGTAATTGCCATGCTTACTACACTACAGCTATGGTGGCCATATAACGAGCTATCTAACATCAATTTAATTATACCATATACAAATTACAACACGTGGTAATTACAACACGTGGTAATTATAACGAGTGGTGACTACAGCGCGTGGTAATTACAACGCGTGGAAATTATAATCCACGACCATACAGCCAACAGAAAATATAACATACAATAATTAACATGTGATAATATACATAATAAACGTGTGATCATTTTAAATCATAGTAATTGCCATGCTTACTACACTACAGCTATGGTGGCCATATAACGAGCTATCTAACATCAATTTAATTATACCATATACAAATTTCAGCAAGTAACAAAAAAACACCCAGAGATTTGACCTTTAAATGAAATCTACCTACGATGACCAGCAAAGAATATGGAAAAATACGAATAAACCTATGAATCGCCCTTGAAATCAGGATGCAGACGTACTATTTCACATGTTCCGACGTTAATGATCATCGTTTACTTATATATTACCAACGTATCGTCGTTGACGTAATATATCGTGGGTTTCTCCAAAAGTATTATAGGATTCCATTCAGTTATCGTGAATGTTTATAAGGCGGGACTATAAAATAACCTCAACGAAATTTTGAACGTGTTGACGACCGGATCCAAGGAGACCCGGTTACGCGTCTCGACAGAGTTATTAATGCGAAATTTAAACCTTCAATTTATTGCGATTTTTTGGGTTGGGCTATTGTACTCTTCTTCGCACTGTAAATCCTGTCGGAATCATAGTCACAGATGAACTGTGGCTATGAAAGCTTATTTGAAAGCTTATGGCACTATGAAACTGTCGCTTCAGTGGTACCTGGTGTCATCTTTCGAGCATCGGATGATTATGAGTTCGACGGTTTGTCTAACACAGAGACACTAGATAAACCTTCTGACCTATCAGTATCATTCTTATTGTATTTATTAGATAGTTGTTTAGTTAGGACAATTAAAATTGCATGTGCGTTTCAATTACCTTAAACTAGGTTTCTCAAGCTTTATTGGTACCCTAACATCCCTGAGTTTCCTATGCTTAGTTATCTGTGTGAATGAGATCCCAAATAATTATTAGTTGAACGTACATATGAAAAAATAGACAGCTAAGTAATATATTATTATTGATGTGATAACTGTATACTAAATTTGAAACTAACTTTCCTCCATTGAACCTATTGCACGAAATGAATTAACCACATACAGAATTAACTACATACAGCCGAATAAACAAAAGAATATGAATGTCCAATAAAGTAAGTGATGCTCCAGAATAAAAATTAACACACTCAGTATTACCAATATAACACAAAATGTCTTAGCAAGTAGCTATCAAAGTTTCTTAAGCAAATTTCCCGTATTTCGCTGACTCAACAGAAAGTTGAAATTAAGGAAAAATGTTGTAGTTAAGAGAAATGGCGTCAGCAGCGGCGGAACTGGTTGCCGAGAGGGAGCCCGAGCTAAGGATCGAGATGGCGGACACGAATCGAACGTTCGTAGGTGCTCAAGGACTGGTCCGGATGGCCCTGGATCAGTACACGGAAATCCTCACAACAGTTTCAGACCCTCGTGTCAACGATTGGCCATTGATGGACTCGCCTATACCCACCTTCTTGATCGTCGTCTTGTATCTGTACGGGGTGACGATATTCGGACCGCGAGTGATGGCTAACCGGAAACCGTTCAAACTGAGGGAAGCTCTGCTTGCCTATAATGCGTTTCAGGTGGTCTTCTCGCTTGGAATGATGTACGAGGTAAATTATCTTTTTTTCATACGATCATTCTATAAGAATATTCTTTTTGAATGTATTCGAACGAATTTTCATTTTGAAGAAGTCTCAACCTGAACAAACATCATCAAACTTAAACGAACCCAAATATAAACACATTTATAAAGATGTTCTCAATATAATGAGGCTATACAAAAATTCATTTATAGATATCTTCATGAACATACTATTTAAAGATTTTTACTTTGAAGTCCCAACCTGAACAAACATCATCAAACTTAAGCAAACCCACATAATAGTCTCATTTATAAAGACGTTCTCAATGTAATGAAACTTTACAAAAATTCATTTCTAAATATCTTCATGGACATACTATTTAATGATTTTCACTTAGAGTAAGTCTCAACCTGAGCAAACGTCATCAAACCTAAATGAATCCACATAATTACATTTATAAGAACATTCTTTCTGAATAATCTTCTATAATTCTACAGCAAAAACTGATCATCTAAGGCAGTATAATGAGAACCTACTATACAAGAATTCACCTATAAACATCTTCATGAATGTACTATTTAATGATTTTCACTTAGAGTAAGTCTCAACCTGAACAAACGTCATCAAACTTAAATGAACCCATATAATAATCACATTTATGAAGACACTCTCAATATAATGAAACTATATAAAAATTCATTTCTAAATATCTTCATGGACATACTATTTAATGATTTTCACTTAGAGTAAGTCTCAACCTAAACAAACGTCATCAAACCTAAATGAATCTACATAATAATCACATTTATAAAGACGTTCTCAATACAATGAGATTATACAAATATTCATCTCTAAACATCTTCATGAACATACTACTTAAAGATTTTCATTTCGAGCAAGTCTCAACCCGAACAAACATCATCAAACTTAAATGAACCCACATAATAATCACATTTATAGACATTCTCAATATAAGAAGACTATAATGCATTTATAAACATTTTCATGAACATACTATTTCAAGATTTTCACTTTGAAGCCTCAACCTAACCAAACACCAAACCTAAACGAACCCTCATTCAACGAACCTAATTTATCTCATCACAAACCCCACTAAACGAGTGGGTGAACAACATCTCCACATACCGAGTGTCCCCAACAATTTTCCTTTAAGAATGCAGCGTTGTAGAAATAAATCCTAAGCAATTACACGATTATGTCCGCAAAAACACCTCCCGGGATTTACCCTAAAGAAGGAACCTAACTCGGTTCCAAGGTTTCGAGAACGTTTCGAAACGGCACAAGCTTTCTCTAAACACTGACGACCAGATGCACATGAAAGGTTTGCGAGAGATCGATGCGACTCTTCAATAAGATCCAAAGTTCATGGCTCTCGGACAACGATCACCTCTCTCCGCAAACGCAAGTAGGCCAACGGGCGAAAATGTCAGAGAATGACGAAAAAAATAGAGTCGCCGTCGGCGTCAAATACCTATGGGACGTAGCGTTTTTGGAACGAGAAGTATAACAGTGAAAGCAACTGGTACACGAGACAGTGTATCTTCATACTGGTAATTGGAATGTACGGAGCTATAAGGAGCAAGTGAATGAAGCAGGTGCACTTCGATGTAGGACTTCTTTTAACGGGACAGGTATAGGGGAGGAGTCAGCATAGAAGATTATTAACTTGATATTTTAATTGAATGTGGGGCAATGATCATAGCAATCGGGGCCCATATAATTATCTATCGATCAATCGTTCAATTAAGTGAATGTTTAAAATGTTACATTTTTAAACCTGCAAATATCTGAAACTTTAATCTGTGACTCGTAGAGTTTATAGATTGTGAAATCTTGAAATATGTAATTTTCTAAATCGTCAAATCATAGAATTTGCAGACCTGAAAATCTCTACATGTTCAAATTTATAGATCACACAATCCTGAAACTTCTAAATCTTCCAATTCAAAAGTTCCTAAATTTTTACTTCATATAATCTGTACATCTCTACAATCTCCCAATTTGTAAATCTTCAGATCTTCAAATCTGGAAGTCGCTAAACTTTCAAATATCTAAATCTTCAAATTTTTGAAGCTACAAATCTCCCAACCTCCCAATATGCTAATCTCCTCGTCTCCCAATTTGCCAATTTCCCAATCTTGCAATCTCCTCGTCTCATTTGCCAATTTCCCAATTTGTCAATCTCCAAATCTTCAAATCCCCCAATCTCTAAATCTCCCAATCTCCCAAACTCCCAAACTCCCAATCTCCCAATCTCCCAACTTGCCAATCTCCTAACTTGCCAATCTCCCAAATTGCCAATCTCCCAAATTGCCAATCTCCCAACTTGCCAATCTCCCAACTTACCAATCTCCCAACTTGCCAATCTCCCAATCTCCCAATCTTCTAATCTCCCAATCTCCCAATCTCCCAATCTCCCAATCTCCCAATCTCCCAATCTCCCAATCTCCTAATCTCCCAATCTCCCAATCTCCCAATCTCCAAATCTCCAAATCCCTAAACCCCCAAATCTCCAAATCCCCAAATCTCCAAATCCCCAAATCCCTAAACCCCCAAATCTCCAAATCCCCAAATCTCCAAACCCCCAAATCCCCAAATCTCCAAATCCCCAAATCCCCAAATCTCCAAAATCTCCCAATATCCAAATCCCCACTTCTAAAATCTCCCAAGTCCCAAATTTCCAATTTCCCAAATCCCCAAATCCCCAAATCTCCAAATGATCAAATCCCTAAACTTCCAACTCCACGCGTCTATCCTCCACAACAGCGACAAACATCTCCAATAAATTCCACAATAGCAGTTTCAAGCAGTCCGCTTGTAAAAGGGCAACTACTTGGCGCAGATAAAAAGGAAACTTCAACTTGCAGTCTTACCGGCGCTCATTTTTGCAAAGGCAAACGGAAAGAAGAGGAAATCGCGTTGCAACACTCGCGATTGCATTGTAAGCTGGTCTAACGAAACGACTTGAAATTTCGCGTCGATTTTGAAAGAGACAGAGCGAACGGAATTCGCGAATTTCCAACGCGATTACGAACGGCAGAGGGTGGGAAAGCGTGATTCGCGAAACTCGCGCGGTTGCAAAAACAAAATGAAAAAAAGAAACACAAACTGCGTAAACCCGATTCTCGGCGAGCGTTTCCATCAGATTTCTCAATCGATTTGTACACTTCAGCGCGCGGTTCGTTAAAGGCGAAGCATCCTGTTTTCGACTTTCCATCAGACGCTCGCTCTTAGATTCCGAAGAACAGTGCGCTTGTAAACAGTGCTTTAATCGAAAGGTCGATTGAGCGACCTAATTAGAGGTCAGCGGATGATGTGTGGAAAGAAATTATTGGACTCTCGTCATATTGCAATTTTTATGAATTAGAGATTTTTTGTGACGCATCGTGAAATATGGAGTTGTAAGAAACTTTCTATCAAAGCAGAAGACGCGTTATATCACCACGCGTTATACTGCCACGCGTTATATTGCCATGCGTCAAATCACCACGCGTTATTTTGCCATGTGTCGGATTGCCACGCGTGATATCGCCACGCGTCAAATCGCCACGCGTCAAATCGCCACGCGTC